AGTTTTAAAATAAATCCAGATTAATAAGTATACTTAGTTTTAAAATCAAGCCAGAGTAACAAGTATACTTAGTTTTAAAATCAAGCCAGAGTAACAAGTATACTTAGTTTTAAAATCAAGCCAGATTAACAAGTATACTTAGTTTTAAAATCAAGCCAGATTAACAAGTATACTTAGTTTTAAAATCAAGCCATATTAACAAGTATACTTAGTTTTAAAATCAAGCCATATTAACAAGTATACTTAGTTTTAAAATCAAGCCAGATTAACAAGTATACTTAGTTTTACTCAAGCCAGATTAATAAGTGTACCTGTTTTAAATCAAACCAGAGTAATCTGTATACTATGTTTTAGACTCAAGCCAAAGTAATTAGTATACTATGCTTTAGACTCAAGCCAGAGTAATAAGTATACTATGCTTTAGACTCAAGCCAGAGTAATTATTTTACATAGTTTTTGAGTTTTTAAGAGTACTTAGTTTCAGTATTGGTAATGTGATTCTAGAGTCGTTTTTTTTTCTCTCTACAGATCAGTCTACGTCAGAACGAGTCCAACATGCTATGGAGCATATCAGTAAGCTACAGATTATTGTGAATTCGTTGTCTCACTTGCAGCTGGACGATCATGAATATGCTTATTTGAAGGCGATCGTTCTCTTCAGTCCAGGTTGTGCTAATTAAGAAAGTTTCCTGTTTCTTTTTTTTACAATTAACAGTTGTAACCTTTCTGTTATAAACATATAGTTTATGCTACAGATGAAACATCTTTAAATTTCTGTTACATATTTTGACATATTATGTATTATATTGCTTGTTTTCATGTGTATAATTTTACAGTCCATATTAACAGATTTTTTATTAAGAGAATGTTTCAGAGGTGAAATTCTGTCTTCATAAAATCATTTTTTTGTGTCTTTTAACCCCCTGGTGTTTTAAACTTGTAACTATGTCTTGCTAAAAGATTTTATTTTACCTTTAGTGCCCAGTAGTGAGAGTTTTTAATTTAAGATTGTAAACAAAAATATGAATTTTATGCCTTAGAAAAAGATTCTCACACGTTAAATTCATCAACAGACAACTTGTCTCATCCAAAGGCTCGCCAAGTTGAAAAGTTTCAAGAGCGAGCATATCAAGAAATGCACACCTATATTGACCAGACTTTTACAAAAAACAGTGACAGGTTTCCAAAACTTCTGTTACGGTAAGTATCTGATGTTGTTTTTGTATAACGGTAAGTATCTGATGTTGTTGTTTTTGTATAATGGTAAGTACCTGATGTTGTTGTTTTTGTGTAACAGTAAGTATCTGATGTTGTTGTTTTTGTATAACGGTATCTGATGTTGTTTTTGTATAACACACATTCATCAATTCTTTTCCCTTTTGTTTGTGAATTTCATCAAATTTTCAACAGAACAAATTGTTGAGGAAACATATTTTTTCTGTACAGATACAGTAGAAAACTACTTGAAAGCTACAACAATAACATTTTTGGTCATAAAAGAATAGACATAAAATATTATTATTATGATGATAAGCATCATAGAGAAAGAGATAACACTGACTGAAGAACCCAGAAACAAAGTATCCAGCTGTATATTTCAAATTAAAATAATCTTATAATTACCTGAAATTTGAAATTTATCTTAATGTACTACTTGATGTTTTGATCATATACACCTGGAAAAAAGTTAAGCACCCCCGTGTTTTTTTCAAGTGATTCAGATTCGACGTTCTTGTGA